ATATATAGGGTTGGGTTCACGTGAGACTCGTGAGACCAATTTATGTTCATTGATCAACTTTATAAGCTAATGATCTAAAATTGCACGGTGGCAATTTTGTAATTATTTAGAAGTCTCGTGATAATTTTGTGATTATGAATGTTGAGATTGAAAATCTAATCCAATGGTTAAGAATTAGTCTTACGAGTTTCACAAAAAAAACATTGGTCTCATATGATCCCATGTGTGTATATATATATATATATATATATATATTTGGCAATGTTACGGAGAAAACAAAGAGAAAGTAAAAATGTATTAATTTCACGTCAATTGTATTGTATTTCTTTTTTCAGTTATAAATTAATATTCCAACATCATTAAAATAAAATGACGAGTCTTTCTGGAGGAAAACAACACTCAACTTTCACAAAAAACAGCTTCAAAATACCGATGACTACGTACTATTTATACAAATGAAGAGGTTGTTTATTTACCTCTTAATAGTTTCATAAAAAGACGGTCTCTGAATTATTAAGAGGTTAATTTTATTTGGCAAAAAAAATGTCTCTTATGAATTTGTATCATTAACCTTCCAGAACCATTCACGCTCTAATTTCATTGTAAACAATTACCAAACAATTATATTTCATTTTGAACTATATCATGAGAGTTTCTTAATCATTCTACATCAAACCATTCAGCAATTACCTAACAGCCCTGAAGTTACTGTGTCCTAAAACCTGGTTTAGCTTAACAACTATAATAAACACATGTTTCAAAATATGTAAACAAAAACCATTGGTTCAAAAAACAAAAACCAAACCAAMCCAGCCAGTAAATCTCACAAAAAGGTAGGGTTTGAAGATGGTAAAAACCTAAAAAGTAGATAAAACAGTTTTCATGAAGACACCGGCTTAAAGAACTAATTCAAAAACAATAAAATGGCATTCACGAGCGACAAATTATCCCGTCCCATACAATAATAACAATAAAGCGGTCACAGAATAAACGAATGATAAGGGCTCGTGCCAAATTTGAACGCCCCCTTCTGTCTGCAAAACATAAATCTCCAACTAAAGTGTCTCTCCGGCCGGCCCTACACTCCGGTCGCTACAAGCATAAATTACATACCTAACTGCCTCTTATGAAAACGATCAACAGCCGAGGCGCTTAGGCTTTCAGAAAGATAAATGCAAACAGAAACACAACCCTTTTTATTCCATGCAACAAATAGCTACCATATGAAAGTTTTCAATTGGTTGCCTCACGGCTGTAGAAGGCATCAAGGGTCTTGGCCGGAATACGGTGAAGAAGCTCACGGGGAAAGATCCGGAGAAGTGTCCATGCTAAATCCAGCGACTGGAAGATGTTTCGGGTGTCGTATGCTCCTTGGGCCACAAATTTCCTCTCAAACTTGTCCAAAAATTCCAAGTATAGCTGTTCCATTCACCATCATATATATAAATGACAGGATTTCTTTATCAACCATGTACAATTATGTACATGAATACATATACTATGTATGTATGTATGTATGTATGTATGTATGTATGTATGTATGTATGTCTATGTGTGTGTGTGTGTGTGTGTTCTCCTAGTCAAAGTTATTGACTTTGACCCACAAGTTTTTTTTATCATTATCCAAAGGTTACTTGACACCTTTAAGTAATAGCCCAACATTTTGTTAAAATTATGTGTTGTTCCACTCTTCAAGGGACTAAGGCTATGTTTGGCAAACTACTAAGCTTGGCTGTGACAGATATACTAGTCATGTTTGGTAAAAGGTAGATGACAATGTAAAACTACCTAAAAGGATAGGGTTTTTGATCATTTATGTAAAATACAAGAGGCTAATTGGAAAAAAATAAAAAAGACACCACCTGAAATAGTTTTTCAAAAAACAAGTTTAAAAATGGGATTTTTCAAAAAGCTCGAAAAATAAGCTAGCTCATGGTTACCAAACATGGCCCAAGGGAGAAGCATGTATGTGCTGTGTTTGTGTGAATACATTGAGAGGGGAGAGAGAGAGAGAGAGAGTCGGACCAAATCCTCAGAAGAGAGAGCTTCTTCTCCGACCACTGCTTTCATGGCCTGAACATCTTTACCAATGGCATAATTTGCATAAAGCTGAACATATAACAGTGAAATTATTCATTAATTTGGTGTGTGACAACTTTTGTAGACTATGATATATTGAAGGGGAGGGGAGGATATATAAACCAAACCAAACCAAATCAGTATGTCCCACCCAGTGGTGGGGTCTGAGGGTAAGATGTAGGGAGACTTGACCTCTACCCCAAAGAGTAGAGCAGCCGTGTTCCTGTAGACCCCTGGCTTGTGAAACGTGTGTGAAAGAGAGGGGAAGATATATATATATATATATATATATATGATAGAGAACCAATCTTGACCTGATTGGAGACATCAGAATGGTCCCTGCGAGTCATTCCTTCACCTATAGCACTCTGCAATCATACAAGCTTTAATTAAACCAATGCTCTTCTCATTTGTGTTCCCAATTGAGAAAATACCAGTAAAGTATATTAAGCTATATTTGAACCAGAACTATGGACTTACCTTCATCAATCGGGATAGGGATGGAAGCACATTGATCGGAGGGTATATCTGTCAATTTCATCATCAACAAACTTTCAGTTTAGATGTTTAGACCAATCAACCATCACTAATAAACTCAAAAGATCTTCTACCCCATTGATATAATGTGTGTCCCATCTCAAGTTCTACCTTATAAAATGATGGTCTGTGAACTGATGTAGATAACTCGATACATATAATGGCAGTTTTTGCTAAATACCATTTGCTTTATTATTGTTTCACAGAGAAAGCAATGCTGAAGTTGTGTGCTTGTAATGCACCATACCAAACCAAACGAACCCATTATACCCCACACCAAGGCAGGGTCTTTAAGAGGGAGGGGGGATATATGCAGATCTTGCTTCTATCCCAGAGGCTAGAGAGGAGGTTTCCATATATACCCCCAGCTTGCAACACAAAAGCAAAAAAGGAGACCTGCAGCATAGTAACATACAAGTATATGCAAAAAAACAATGGCACGGTATTAAAAGTACTATCAAGGCCTTGGGTTTGCTCCCCAGAAATCACTAGTTCAAGTCTCTCATAGCCCATGGAGAATTTGCCGGGCTGTTAACTTCAGGGCCCCATGGTGGGATTAATCCAGGTTTGCACAAACTGGCCCGCAGACCCATAGTTTAAAAAGACATGCTATCTATTGCTATGACTAGGAAGACTGATTTTCCAACACCAAAAACAAATTCTTTTAACCTAACCTGTCTGTTGTGAAGCTGCCTGTCAATGTAGATCTGTCCTTCAGTAATATAACCCGTAAGATCAGGAGTCGGATGTGTAATATCTGTTGAGTTGATGCATAAAGTTTAGAGGAAGTAATTAAGAGCATAGTAGAAATAATGGTAAACCAAAAAAGTAGCCAATAACTCCCCTCTCAAAACGACCCAAAAAGAAAGAATATGAACCGTAAATCTTACCATCATTGGGCATAGTTAAAATTGGAATTTGCGTGATGGAGCCCTTTCGGCCTTCAATTCGTCCAGCACGCTCATAGATTGTAGCCAGATCGGTATACATATACCCAGGATATCCACGCCTTCCAGGCACTTCTTCTCTAGCAGCAGAAACCTGCAATAGTGATGAAACAGGTTTTACTTTCACCCAACAGTAAACATCCAAGCTGTTCAGCGACCTAGAAATGTTAAGGGTCGGATGGTTCACCAAGTCAACCAGTCAGACAGGTATTAACCCCTGATTTCAAAATTGATGACATGTGTACTACCCTGTAGTCAAATATGTCAGATAACCTAACAAAATATTTATTGATGACCAACATAAAATCTGAAAATTTTCAACCAAACAAATGAAATCTAAAAATTCCAGCCATTACTAAATGGGTTGACTTGTTGGACTGCTTATCTGATTACCAAGTCGACCGCTTGAACCGTCCAGTTAGCAACTTCAAGTGGGTTTTTAAGTGATCCACCTCAGTTTTCTTACTGGGTGACAATACTAGCCAGGCTGATTGGGTTTATAAACATTGCTTTCACCCAAATTGCCCAAACAGTTCATTCCCAAGGAACAAAACAACAAAAATATATACAGACAAACAAACAAAACCTAAGAAGTTCTTGGTCAGAATCATGATTACCTCACGAAGAGCATCAGCATAAGAACTCATATCTGTTAGGATGACAAGAACATGTTTGCCACATTCATATGCTAAATATTCTGCTGTTGTCAAAGCAATACGAGGAGTGATGATACGCTCTATCGTAGGATCATTGGCCTATAAAAAGTGTGAAAAGATAAGCATCTCCAGACAGGAGTAGAGCATTTGAAAACAGTTATAATAATAAAACAGTAATGAGCAAATCATAACAGATACAAGGGACTTACAAGGTTCAGAAAAAGAGTCACTCTTTCCATTGATCCATTTTCCTCGAAATCACGTTTAAAAAATTGTGCAGTCTCCATGTTCACACCCATAGCAGCAAAAACAATGGCAAAGTTGTCCTCTTCTCCACCGGTCTGTACAAGCAAGCAATTCAGAATGCTTTTAACATCATGTGTTAAATTTTTATTTGTGAACAAAAAGAACAGGCTGGAGAAACCACACATGATGACTCCTAAAATCGACAAACAAACCAAACACATAGAAACTTTATTTTGCTGTTAAAAGCATGGTTTTAAGAAATGCTAAAAGCGTGCGCCACAAGGCGGTTCGATCCAAAATCATATACGAGGCGCCACCTCTACTAGTCTAGTTGGTAAGTGCACCTTTGGCGGTCAAGTGGGCAGTGAAGCGATCTGAGGGTGTGCATTTTTTTATGAAAAAAACTCACTTTTTAATTAAGGAAATGATTAACATTAAAGAAAAACCTTAATATAGAATTCAATCAATTTTCTTGTCAACAATCAATATGGAACCGTTTTCTTGAAGACTCTTGATGCATTAGATTGTGTGAAAGAAGCACAAAAATTATTTGAATTGCTCATTGGGGTTTTCAAAAAGATTGGGGAAAATATCGTGGTTCAAGTAGTCACGGATAATGCCGGTGCGTATAAAGCTGCAGGAACCTTGTTAATGAACAAGAGAAACTTTGTACTCAACCCCATGCGATTTGATGCTTGAGAAAATCGGGGAATTGCCCCAACAAAAAAATGTTTTGCTCAAAGCAAAACGAGTTAGAAAATTCATCCATAATCATCAGTAGGTTGGATTTTAACAAAGAAGTTTGCAAAAAAAGATCTTATTTCGCCCCACAGCCACCTGATTTGCTGCGGCCTTTTGACGTTGGAGAGCATGTTTGAGTTGAAGCAACCACTACAAAGTATGTTTATTTCAAATGAGTGGTCAAACTGTGCATGGGCGAAAAAACTCGAAGGAAAAAGCAATCAAACAGATTGTTACAAATGAAAGAACCTTTTGGCCTAGTGTGGTTTATTTATTAGAACCACAAATACCCTTGTGGAATGTTTTTGAGATCATCGACAATGAGACTCCAGCGATGGAATTCATTTATGGGGCAATGGATGAGGCAAAGGAAAAAATGGCAAAGAATTTGGATGATGATACGTATTCTTGTAAGAAGATTTGGGACATCATCGATTCAAAGTTGGAGCATCAGTTGCACCATACTTGCATGCAGCAGGATACTTTTTGAATCCCTGATTTAGATGGACTCCTGATACTTCTAACCATCCAGAGATTACAAATGGATTGTTCAAATGTATGGAGAGGCTCGTTAAAGATGATGCCACATATATGAAGACTGAAAGTCAACTTGATGCATACAAACACAGGCACGTATCGTTAGGGTATAGAGCAGCTTTGTCAAGTTATATAACACGCCCACCAGGCAAATATCCGTACTTTAAAAACTTGTGTTTATAGAATTCTAGTGTTTTGTACGTATCATTCACTATTTTTCTTTTTTTCATTGAAACATATAGTTCAATGGTGGGATACTTAAGCAGCTGAGTTGCCCGAGCTAAGGGCGTTTGCAATGAAAGTTTTTGGCTAACTTGGTCTGCTTCTGAATGTGAACATAACTAGAGTATGTTCAATCAAGTCCACACGAAAAGAAAAAATCTCCCAACCGTTGAAAGAATGAATAGCTTGGTGTACATTATGTACAACAAGAAGTTGAAACATCGATTTCTCAAGAAGGCGACACGAAAGAGGAAGAAAATCCATTACTTGTTGAAAACCACTCCTCGATGATGAATGGACGCCCAATCCAAATGATGAAACAGACAACGACGGGACGGTTAGGGATGAAGGGGAGGGTTCAAATTCAAGAAAGAATAAAAGTATTAAGTCGACTTAGAAGACGAATATGAAGATAAGAGGATCATGTTTATAGATATGATGTGGTGCTTTTTAAATTTATCACATTTCATGATCTTTTGACTAGAACTAATTAGTTTGGTTGATGTTTTAGGACTTGTAAGTTATAACTTAATTATGGGTGTTATAGTATACTTATTTGGTATGGAAATATGAAATTATTTTTCTTTGTTAAGTGTTATGGATTTATAAATTTTAATGTTTTATTTTTTGGGGGCTTACGCCTCGACCGCCTCATGTCCCTAAAACGAAAACACCTCAAGGCTCGTTTCCGTTCTTTAAAACCTTGGTTAAAAGCAAGAATAACTACATATGGAAGATCAGTCATTCACTGATTGGAGCCAACAGTTTCATGGATATTGAACATCAAACATTATTTAATTGGAGTACGCACACCATCTAGAGATGCACATAATATTCAGATCTCTGCTATCCATAAGAAGTGGTATGGAACGTGCTTCATTATATTACCAAAATATAGAAGGATCTCCAACAACAATACCTCAAGCAAGTTTTCTGTTTTTTCCAACCGCTTCACCAAACCAGCTTGACGACAGATCTGAGCAGCTATTTCATTGTGGGGGAGACCAGCAGCAGAAAATAGCGGAATCTTTTGTCCTCTAGCAATTGAATTCATGACATCAATTGTGGAGATACCAGTTTGTATCATTTCTTCAGGATACGTTCTCTCACTAGGATTGATAGAACTTCCTGGAATAATAACAGACAAGTAACATATTAGACAATGCTAATTATGCTCAACATGCGGAAGGAGCTTGTATGTTCATTAGTTTTCAGTATGGTTTCTGTGTTCTGCCTTGGTTTGCATATTGCTGATTCCACTTGCTAAAAACTAAATAAAAAGTAATAAACAATATAAAAACAAAAAAGGATTTTTCTCACATGCTTCTGAATTAGTCTATGGTCTCAATTTCTCGTCCGGACTACACAAATAGTTTATGATAACTGTTTCATTCGGTCAAGTATAACAATTATATCAGTCTCTGAGAGAGATTGAGACCAAAACATATTTTCATATTTGTATAGATGTATTATTTAAACAAGCAGTGAAAAACATAAAACACAAACAAATCTATGAAGAATCCAGAACGCAATATAAGTCACACTAGATACAGAAAAAGCCTTACCAGAAATATCCAGATAAGCCTCGGGCAAAATAGGAGGGCCATTATCAATTGGCTTCCCAGAGCCATTGAATATGCGCCCAAGCATATCCATAGAAACAGGAGTTTTTAGGACCTGCATATGCATCAATCATTTCTTTAAACAATATAACTTACAGCAAAGTAGTATGAATTACAAAGAACACAGGACTTGAGATAACTGAAAAGAAGGGAAAGCAAAAGATAAGCAGCAAATGAAGAAATTATGGAAATACCAGTCCTATTCCCATGAACGAAATCACTCACAGTTTCTAAAATTTCATGTACACATCCAAATTCACAAGTACCCCACACATAATCTATAAGCGGTTAACAGATAATTGAGATCCCTCAAAGTCCTAACATCATTTTTAGATATGTAAGCAATTGTGTCACACAACTCAGTAGCCTTATAGGGCAATAATGCCTAGGCTGTTAAAAGGATGATCAAACCAACAAAAATAACTTTTCAGTTACCCTGGATTCTCTACACCTCAAGATAAGAAGCAACCGATTACCCATCTAAGCTTGTCTCAACATAATTCACTTGTCCACCATAAAACATTGTTCATGGCTTTAACAAAGCTTCATTCTGATGTAGTAACGTCAATCAATAGACTTCAAGTGGATACAAACAAAAGCCAAATGAGTAGAACAAAAAGAAGTCAGTAGTATAAAATACATAGCTGATGCAAGTCACTTGAAAGATGTTTAAGTAGTTCATCTAAGCAGATGCAACTGAGCTCAAATCAATGGCATGAAAACAGCAAACTCTAATAAAAATCTTAAATTCTAAATCTAATGGATTTTTACACAAATATAATATAGTTTGAAGAATTTTAAATGTGCCAAAAGCAGTGTTCTAAAAAGCATTAAGCTGAGTTGAACACTCAAGCACCTTCTAGTTCTAGCGCTTAATCACCTAAGCAAGAGTAAGCAAACACATACGCAATTCACTAAAAAACATAAAATTAAATTAGTTTAGATTATGTAAACGTAGAAGAAGTACATTTCCGATACTATATTAGTTTGATAAGACGCTTATTATGCCTTCAATTGGTCTGGCTCACACTAATAAAGCCTGTATGAATTTCAACACAATTGAAGTTATGTGTGAGTAAAATCATTTAATCTTTTGCTTAAAACAGCATCAATCAAAGTGGATTCATACCAATCAAAACAAAACTGTCTACCCCTTACACTGCGAACATCCTTAGTGAATCCAAAAGACAATAGAGCATCAATTGAAAAGCAAGCTTCCTAGTTCACATTGTTATTTTAAAATGTTGTATACAAGAACATGCAACCTCTATCATATGAATTTTTCTTTTGTATTGTCTTACTTATCTGCTTATCACAGCAAAATAATTGTTTTCTTATTGCTTACTTAGTACCAACTTCTTTCCTTTTAGGCTATTAAGTAAATTCATGCAATGATAAACAATTATACAAGCAAAAGAAATACAACAAACATTTAATGTGGTTTTATGTAAGAGTTCTTTTGACATAGGATAAAAAATGTAAAAGGAAACTTATGTACCTCCCCCGTAAACTGCACAGTTGTGAACTTATTGTCTATTCCAGATGTTCCTTCGAAGACCTGGTCAATATAAATTAGATATTTGTTTCAGTATAAATGCAACGATAATAGAGATGATACAAGAAATATTTCAGTTTTCATATGATGAGGCATCAAACTATGTGAAGGGCATGCCATGAAAAAAAGGCGTCAATTTTTTTGCCATTAAAGACGCTCCATAGCACCTACCACCTCCAAGATAACGTTCCACCCATTACTCATGGCAATAGTCTTTTTCCAGAGAGTGGGAAACCGTGCCTATAGACTAGATCACTTGCCCGGTAATCATGCAATAGTCATACAGATATAGTATTGCCTAGTACATAGGGAAAACAAAATTCCAAACATATTATATTTAGATAATCTTCATATCTTTTTCCGAGAGTAACATCTTTACCCATTTATATATGCATGCTTCTTGTCACAATCAAATGAAGATGTATCAAAGAGATATTTTGAGAAGTTGATACTCTATATTATAAGGAGTAGAGTAGACTAACCAAATTAACATATAGGTCTTCATTTTTCAATCCAGCTAAACTTAGATTGCAATAAGGGGCGGTTCGGTTGTTCTTTCATTACCCCTCACTCTATATTAAACATTGATTAACATAATTGTTTGATAAATATACTGAACAGTTTATTTTGAATGATAAAAAATATTGAGTTAATTGTTTTACAAAATAAATTGTTTTATTGTAATATTATACATATATATATATATATACACATACATCCAAATCCATTGCTTCTCCATTGCACCTTCAAAAAAACCACCGAACAAAAAACTCTTGAAACCCTCTTTAATCTGTTGCATATCCGGCAGCCCACCCCATACCCCTACATCTACCCCCTTCCCCTCTTCTTCTCTACCCTCTTCCTATATCAACACCATTGAACTCCTTCCTATCTCTAGGTCTATTTGGGATTTGGGTTGAAATCATTGTTGGGTTTTCTATGTTTAAGCCGAAGCCATTGGAGAAAACGAAGATTTGAGAATCATTGTTGGAGCAACACCACTTTCATTATTGAGATTACCAGAGAAGATGAAGATTGAGGGTTTTTCCTTTTGGTGTATTTTTTTCCCAGAGCAAGACCACTTCCATTTGGGTTTTTTTTCTTTCCGAGATTTGATCATGATGATTTTTGAAGCTTTTCTTCTGGTGAGTTTTTTTTCTGAAGGGTTTCAAAGAGTTTTTCACAAGGGCATTGATGAACAGATTCATGGCTGAATGCGTATGACACTTATTTCTTGGCTGACCGAATAAGCCACTAGCTTAGTCATTAAACCACAGCCAAACAGCAACTAAGTAATGAATAGCTTAGTTGATGCATCGATCTAAGAACAATGGGATTGTTTTTTGTATTTTCAACTATGTTGAACAGCAATGAGAATTTAAAACTTTAGCAAAAAAATTAACATATTGTGGCTAATTGACTATGCCTAATTCAAAACAAGCTTTTTACAGAAGTAAATAAACTGATAAAGCATTGTCTGTCTCATGATAGTGCGCTTTTACAAAAATAGAGGAGATGAGCATCCATAGCTGCACATATTCGTCACATATGTATATGGTTTTTGTTCTATTCCATTTCGGCATTTATGGACTTCCACAGAAAACTAATTTCTGGTCACAATTTTTCCCACAGTCGCAAGACAATATACAAGTAATTCATATATTTCATTCCAAAATGTGTCCAATCCATTATTTAATATGCCTTCCAAAAATACACTTTCACCATAAAGACAGATTTACTGAGAAGCATAACGATAGAATGAAAACAGGGAAAGCATGATGTATACTATACTACTGAATCAAAGGCAGAAAACCAGTTCCATTGGACTAATGATTGAGAGGAAATAAACAGGATGTAGATCAATTTTGACGACCAAGACTCTATAGAGAGAATGTACATGAGAAACGCCACAAAGTGATCACCTGGACAACAGCTTTCTCTCCATCAACTTCCAAGACCTGACCACGTCTGGTTGTTCCATCTCCTAAACGAATATTGACAATCTCTTGATACTTTGGTCCCTGTCATTATTTATAGAAGAATGCACACATCAGTTATCAGTGGTGCGTATCTACAGAGATAACCATCATAGAAAAAAATGTATGAAACGTTCAAAGACCACCACAAAACGAGAGAAAGCACAAAAACTAACCTTCACTTTATCAAGGATGACTAGTGGTCCAGCAACTCCGGAGACAGTTCTATATTCTGTGCAAACATCAAGTAGTGAGTTCAGAAACCATGCAAGACCAATGGTATTACATATTGACCAGATGTAAACAGTTTATGTATGTTACTGATTCTAGAAACATACATATATTGGTGTTTAAATCAATTTTGATGGCCAAGAATGTTACCTCGTAAGGTAAATGAAGGTGGGGCTCTTGTCGGTAAGCACTTACCAAGTTAAGTGTTTGGTAAACAGCCCCTTAGTTTTATATCTAACAAGCCTGTCCTTTTCTGTTTCTTTAATTACATAAATAGAAGATCCATTTTTTCTTAAAACTCCAACCAAGCAGTACAAGATAAACCCAATGAATCCACTTCACTATATTGCACAAGAAAAATGAACTTGCATATCCCATTTTGCTCTCAAAAACCAACAATTACAACTTGATTCAATTGCATTATACTTTCTATATCCTGTTTATGCAACCTTTTTTATCTTTTGCAATGCTTATATGTTCACTAATGCTGCTATGGAAGTTAAACCCTTCCCCGATTTCAGTATATTTTGTTGACCATATAATTGAACTCATGAAGAAAAGCATATATGATAACATTGTAACATAGGCTTACCCATTCCGATTTCAAGTGTTCCTTCCTCCATGCTGACATTGTTTTTCTCAACACCCATATTCAGCTATAAAAGAGCCTACAAAATTGAAATTAGAACATTTTGAAACAAAGTTTTAACAGCTCATACTTAACAGCATTGTGTAAAAGCAAATGAATCGAGATTCAAAAAAGTTAAAATTGTACAGGCTACTCATGCAAGTATCTAGGACTCGCCCCATCCATTGCTTTTAGTCGATATAATAAAGAAAATAAGCCAAAAAAAGAATATTTAGATATATTAAAATCCAATCCAAGAGCCATGATAATTAAATTGTGAGGTCAGTAAGAAACAAAATTGAGATCTAAACATAGAGATGAGAAAAAATCGATTCTGGTTGAATCAAGTTGTAACTACGTATAATCCCCATCAAACTTCAAACAATAAACCTAACCATGAAAGAGATCCAAGTATTCAAATATTAAACATAGACATCTACCGATCCAAGTATTCGAATATGAAAAATTAAGATCCAAGCTTTCAAATACCAATTTATGATTACCGATTGATCCAATGATAATAGGGGTAAAAATCAAAATTAAACAGACATCTACCGATTCTTCGAAAAGCAATAACAACGGGAACAAGATTCTCAGATTTTCATAACCCATAAACGTATAATCTACATGGATCCGTATGCTACTACAGACGCATACCAGAAACAAATCACGAACAGATATATTAGACAGTAGTCTTACTTGTTCTTCGATTAGTTTAACTTGGTTGATTGATGACAACAACGAGAGGGCAGATTTCACGTGTGTGGAGAGTAGATGGATCCGATGGAGGGTTTTGAAACAGACGCCCTTTGATCTTTGATGTGTTCAGATCGAATGGAGCGATTTAGTGTGTGGCTCTCGTAGAGAGATTGGGGACACGACAATCTCAACGTTGATTGCTCCCTCGAGAGTTATTTAATTAGAGTGGATTACATTCTTGGTACCTTTGCTTTCTTCCAAATTTGGATATTTTCCCTTAAACATATTTTCAACATTTTTGGTCCTTATATTTTCAACATAAATCCATCTTTTTACCTTAACTAGAAGGGTACTCGCACAATACAGTGAGATACATCTTGATTTTAATATTTTATTTTATTTTTTTGTCTCAGTTGATGTTATAAAAAATTGAAAAAAAATATTGGTATTAGTACCAAAATGACTTTAAAATTTCTTCTTTTTTATGTATTTCCTTAATTTGTTTTTTTTTTGTTTAATAATATAATTTTTTATAAAGATAATAATTAAGTATTTTGTTAGAACTCAATGATTATCTTAATTATATTGTATATATTTAAAATGAGATGTTTATCTTGTATTTAATTATGTTTATCTGTAGTTAGTTACACGAATTCAAACATTAAGCTTTAATACGTTTTACTTATGCAAAATTTACTTGTAATCTTGATTTTTAAGTAATATGCATCAATAAACAGTACTTCAAGCATAAAAAATGATCTTTAAGAGTTTTTGTCAAATGCTTTATAATATAATATAGATATCCTTTTTTAAATTTAATAATAAAAATTGAAATTATATACACGAATGTGGAACTGTGAAAACCCTACGAACTCCCCTTCCCTTTTGTTCTCCAGTGAACTCCAAACTCCCCCTCCCTCCTTTTCTTCAGCAAACTCCGCCAATCTTCTCCTCATCGACTCTTATTTGGTACATATCTATACTAAATTATAAAGCATTTGACAAAAACTCTTAAAAATCATCTTTTATGCATGAAATATTGTTTATTGATGCATATTACTTAGAATTCAAGATTACAAGTAAATTGTGTGTAAGTACAACTTATTAAAGCTTCACGTTTGAATTCGTGTAACTAATTACGGATAAACATAATCAAATATAGGATTAACATCTCAGTTTAAATATAAAAAATCTAAAATATAATTAGGATAATTATTGAGTTATACTTATAACAGAATACTAAACTATTATCCTTATAAAAATTATATTATTAAACCAAAAATAAATTACTTTATTATTAAACCTAAATTAAATTATGATAAAAAAAATTGAATTTAAGAAATTACATAAAAACGAGAATTTTTAAAATTTTAATTTGATATTAATATCGATATATTTTTTTCAAATTTTTATGAATAAAAACATTATCGTTTTCCCAAAATCACATAAAACCGTATTATATCGACAGAGACAAAAAATAAAACGAAATATTATATCGATGTATTTCGCTGCATTGTGCGAGTATCCTTCTAGTTAAATAAGAAGCAGAAGTAAGTAGATCGATTTTCAACTATGTCTTCCCCCTCTCTTGTTTGGTACACACCAAGTGATTTCGAAGAATAAGCAAGAGTAGATCAATTTGAATTACGTTTGGATTTTGTTCAAAATATAAAATGCACTCAGAATTTGGATTTTGTTCTAGATTTCTGGTTTTAGAGTTTTCAGTTATTGTTTGGATTTGTGTTTGGATTAGGGTTTTGATTCTACTCTTTGATTTAGGCTTCTTGATTTTCATGTGTTCTTGATGATGATGGAGAGTATCATATTGTTCTTAATGTATTGGGAAAAGTCAAAAAAAAAAAACTCAATGGATTGTAGTGTTTGGATTGATTAAGTATCTGAACATTTTTTTGAAACAGATAAGTCTTTAAACATTCCAAAACATGTTAAATAACTTCTTAGACTTTCCAAAACCTGTTAGAAACATCCTTATTTATACTATATCATAAAACATTTGACGAAAACTCTTAGAAATCAATTTTTTTGCAGGAAGTATTATTTATTGATGCATATTACTTAAAGTTCAAGATTACAAGTAATTGTGCGTAAGTACAACTTATTAAAGCTCTATATTTAAATTCGTGTAACTAACTGCGGATAAACATAATTAGATAGAGGATAAGCATCTCATTTTAAAATATAAAAAATCTAAAATATAATAAGGATAATTATTGAGTTSTAACAAAATAATTAATTATTATCTTTATAAAAAATTATCTATACTATATTATAAAGCATTTGACAAAAACTCTTAGAAACCATTTTTTATGCATGAAGTACTGTATATTAATGCATACTACTTAAAATTCAAAATTACAATTAAATTATGCATAAATACAACTTATTAAAGCTCAATGTTTGAATTTGTATAACTAACTGCGGATAAACATAATCAAATAGAGGATAAACATCTCATTTTAAAATATAAAAAATCTAAATATAATTAAGATAATTATCGAGTTCTAACAAAATAATTAATTATTATCTTTATCTATACTATATTATGAAGCATTTGACAAAAACTCTTAAAACCATTTTTTATGTATGAAATACTGTTTACCAATGCATATTACTTAAATTTTAATATTACAAGTAAATTGTGTGTAGATACAACTTATTAAAGCTTCATTTTTGAATTCGTATAACTAATTGCAGATAAACGTAATCAAATATAGGATAAACATCTCATTTTAAATAAAAAAAATCTAAAATATAATTAGAATAAGTATTGAATTCTAACAGAATTATTATCTTTATAAAAATAATATTGTTAAGTAAAAAATAAATTATTTCGTTATTAGACCTAAAATTGTATTAAAAAAAGAGAACTTTTAAATAGTTAATTTTATATTAATATCGATATATTTTTTAAATTTAAGATTACAAGTAAATTGTGTGTAGATATAACTTATTAAGCTCCATTTTTGAATTCGTATAACTAACTGCAAATAAACATAATCAAATACAATATAAACATAATTTATACTATATTATAAAGCATTTGACAAAAACTCTTAAAAATCATTTTTTATGCGTAAAATACTGTTTATTAATGCATATTACTTAAAACTCAAGATTGCAAGTAAATTGTGCGCAAGTACAACTTATTAAAGCTCCATATTTGAATTCGTGTAACTAACTGCAAATAAACATAATCAAATACATGATAAACATCTCAT